AGAGAGAGAGAGAGGAAGAGATAGAGGAGGCCAGAAAGCACTACAGAGGGAGGGTGGTGAGAGTGACAGGGAGGGTGTCGTCGAAAGCGCCAAGAGTAGCCTACCGTAGGCCTACTTAATGTATTCATTGGTCTAAGTCAAAGGTTCAGCCAGTCGTAGCCCGGTTTACGCCCTGCGTGTAGTCGCATGTGTGAGTATGTCTAGATCTAATATCTAGATCAAGATAAAAAGTCATAAAAGTGAAAGTATTGAAAGTAGATTTCTCCTGCAGTGGATTTAGCGCGCACGCCGAAGGATGGGTGTATTTTGTGCAGTGTCTAGATGAGATCTAGAATCTAGATCTAAATCGAGATCAAGAAGAATCATGAAATGAAAGTAGAATCTAGATCTGTGATTTTCGATAACCTATTGAATATTGAAATTGGATTTTCCTTGCTCTGATTTATAGATTCTAAGATCTAGATCTAGGCTAGATCTATGTGAATCGTAGATCGAGATCAAGAATGATGAAAGTATTGAACGTGTATTCTTTCCTGCTGTGAATACATCTAGAGTCTAGAACTGGGCTGTCGGTGAATCTATATCGAGATCAAGAATCTTGAAAGTATTCTTGAAAGTGGATTTTTCTGCTGTGAATAGATCTAGAAATCTAGGCCATCTGTGACGCCTGTCGGTTGTTAAAAATGTGAATTTCTAAACTTTGATCTCTCTACGGGCCTAGGCCCCTTCTTTCAATTATTGGCCTATGTCTTTATAATCCTTCGAGATCTAGGCTAGATCTAGAATCTAGATTAGGTTCTTCTAAAAAGCAACAATAGGCATTTAGGCCTAACTCTTTTTTTAAAAAGTGATTGAGCTGGAACTTTAGGAAAAAATGCCACGCCTTCGAAGAAGTCTTACCCCTGGAGGTAGTCAACATAGGGTGCTACATGGATGAATTCAAGGTAAAATATTAATGTTTTGTTTCTTTCCGGTTTTCAGTCTTTTTCCTCGCTCTTAACTTTACTAATACTTCTCCATTATTATTCCGTTCGTCGAACGGGTACTTTTACTAGTAATAATTAATAATGATGATGATGATGATGATGATGATGATGATGATGATGATGATGATGATGATGATGATGATAACAGACAGACAGACAGACAGGCAGACAGACAGACAGACAGACAGACAGACAGACAGACAGACAGACAGACAGCTGATTTGATTTTGTTGATTGGGTAGATGTTTTACAGCACTATCGACACAATTTTGGTCATTTAAGCGCCAACAGGTTTCACCGCTACAAAATCAGACGTGTTTTAGTAAGAGTCTTTCGGAGCTCGCAACCGCACACGATCATACTATTTTCATTAAGCTAAAAAGACGAACAAACATTTATAACAAAATTATTTTGTAAATATGGAAAAGGCTTATTTACATTTGTACATACAATATTAATTTCAGTGTATGTATATCGTCGTCCATCTCACAAAAGGGCGTAAGGGCATTTTTGGCATTTTTCAGGAGAGCGTTTTAAAGTTTTGGACACTTTTTAAGTTCTTGTTGTGGCGAAACCGTCTGCTTTTTCGTTTACATTTTCGGCAAGATATTAGTACAACCACCGATTTATCATTCCCTATAATGGTTATAGATATTGCGTCATCAGTTTTTTAAGAAATGATCTAAGATAGCTGATACGCCTGTTTGTGAGAACATAATTATGTCCGTAAAAACACAAGATTGACAATACGCCACATCGTTTGGTAATAGAAGATAAGAGAAAAAGGATTGTTTTCTTGATTATTGAAGAGGTTTTTCAACTCAATATGCCAAATTGATTTATTTTATATTGTCCCTTCCTTATTGTTTTTATTAGACTGCAGCCCACGTGGGCTTCTTTAAATATTTATATCACATTATATACATAAATATAACATAATACAATATATATTTTATTGTATAGATAGATAGGCTGCCTGTATATATGTGTGAGAAAAAAGAGTGGAGACGACACAAAATAGATAGATGAATGGATGGATGGATGGATGGATGGATGGATGGGTGGATGGATGGATGGATGGAAGAATGGATGGATGGAAGGACGGAGAGAGACAGGACAGCGAGTGGAGAAGTTTACTGGTTACGCATGGCGGTCTCCTTACCTGCCCCCCCCTCTCTCTCTCTCTCTCTCTCTCTCTCTCTCTCTCTCTCTCTTTTCG